CTGCCCCCACCTAACTTTGAACCGCACGTCATTAGAAACATCAACGCTGGCAGTCCACATCAGCGATGTAGACATGGGAGATGGTGTTTGGACCGGGATGACGCACTAAACAAAGTTTAGGAACCTTGGTGTGCAATTTGAGAGTACCGGGACCTAGATGAGAACTCGGAACAAGTTTGAGGACCGCCGGTGAAATTTACTCTTAATTGAATTATGAAAGTGTATTGTTTTAAAATTAGTTTTAGGCAGAGGTAGAGCCTAGAGAGTAAAGAAATAATATAAACTAAAATTGCGTCAGCGGATTGATGAAGGTGAAATAAAGATGATAAGAAAGGAAAGTGGCTATCTAGGCCGTTGCATATACATGTTTACACAACAATCAACAAATTCAACTGACAGAAAAAAGCAGAACATCAGTGGCTTGTTTAGAGGGACCCGTAATCTTGTGTCTCCCTATTCCACCCGAACTAACTTTTCCTCACCCAAACTAATAAATTAATATATAGGGCATGGGGAAAAAAATTAAACACTACTAGCGCTCTGTTTTCGTTCGAGTAGTGCCTGCATAATTAACTAACTAACAATGATGCATCATTAGCCGATTCAGTTTTGTTCTGTAAACACACATCTGTTACATTTGAGGAAAAAAAATGCTTGATGGCAACGTTAATTTACTTCTTTAGAACGTAGTGCTAATGATGAGGCTAGCCACATACAGTACCGCTTTATTAGGTTTCTTCAATTCAGTTCGTTCTGAAAGGCTCATACACTTTAAATAGAATCACTACAGGATACAATATACTACTATATATAAATATATATAAACATCTGCCATTTGGTTACATGGGACTATATAAATAAACACAACGCTGCACGCAAAAGATGGGGCAGGATTCAAACGATATCATGATGCTTGTGGTCTTGTGGATCTTGACTAGAAAGTGCATGGGCCCGAGGAAAAGACAGATTAGTTGGCCGTTCGATCGATCGTTTTTTCTGAGGAAACCGTTCGATCGATCGATCGAGGAGTGTTCCTGCCTACTAAATTATATTAAAGCTAAGCTAGCTAGGAAATTTAGTCCTAGATTCTACTCCCATCCGTGGTCTTTTCAGTCAGCACGCATAAACTAGTAGTGCATCCAAGCTGGATCAGAGCGCTAGCTCCTGCCCGGCGCCGATCCATCGAAAAGGATAGCAAGGCAGGCCCGCCGCGCCCGCCCGCCGTAGCCATGAAAATGGTACGGATTTTTTTTTACCGAGACCGAATCCGTTTACAGAGGTTTAAATCTATTTATAGCCGAGTCTAGATATTCAACATCCGATACCGAATTCGTATTCGAATATTCAAATCGCATATTTATGATATCCAATTATGTCTGCTTAATACTATCCGTATTCAAATCGAAATAAAGACAGAAATATGAAAACAAATATAATATCGATGATAATATCCTGTCGGTTTTCATCCGTACACGTACAGTTCGCGTACAGGCGGGGGATAGCCTGTCTACCTAGCGGGACGGACGGACGGACAGACCCCGTTGGCCGTACGCAGATTGCATGCATGCATCGGCAACTGCGCGCGCGGCGGGTTAGGGGAGGGCTGGCCTGGATCCATGCACGATTCTGTGGATCCCGGTCTCCCCTGCCTGGGTCTTTTGTTCTCATGCCGCCATCGACGGCCGGCGTGCGTAATGCCCGGTCGATTGGTGGCGTGTCCGATCCATATGTACGTACGCGTGCACAGATCGTACTCTCGATCGGGCATATGTACCGTGCGTGCACGTAGCTAGTAATCGGTAGCGTAGAGTTTGTATTATTGTTGCCTTGTTCTTGTTGCATGCTGGTACTCCGAGGACACAAGTCATCACCCAGCCATTCAAACCACGTGTTGAATAAAACTAAACTTGAGGCTGAAGCTACTAAAGGCTCGAGTCTTTCTAAACGCGTACGATCATCGGACAAGCACAACGGTTAGTCGTAAATCGTACTCTAACCGGCAAGTGTACCATTATTTTTTTTTTGGCGAAGGATCTGATCGAATTGGCAAGTGTGCTAATGTATATACACTACTGACGTACTTACGATCGATGGAGCACCGGACAACATGAACACTAGCGTACGTTACATGGCCCGAACTAGAACAGTTGAACTTTCATGCTTACATGAGATGGTATGTGCTTGTCTTACAGGTGTGTGGATTTGTGCTATAATGGTGCATATATGGTGAAAATTCGATTATAATCATAGTTTTGTTTTTTCTTTTGCTGTGGACACCCCCGGCCCGCACCTACTAAGGTCTTTATGGACCCACCCCTAAAACTACTACTTTGTTTGGTTAATCCCCGCCCTCCTCAAACTTATTCAAATTGGAGATTAACCGAAACAAGTGCTACGTGTGTGTGTACATGCATCCAAGCATGCATACAACAAGATGCAGATACGAGTGGTAAACAAACAAAAGAAGAAGAAAACAAATTAAAGTGCACGCGAGCTTAATTCGCAGCAGGGGGCGCCGCGGCAATTAATTTGCATCTCGTGTGAGCGCGGAGCGCCACCAATGCAAATAAATTTAACGCCGCCCCGGCCCGCGTCCATGCCAATACGCTCGTTCAATTTCGAAACATGCATGCATGCGCCCTCTGTCGGTTTGAAAATCAAATTGTTCATGGCTCCAATTCCAATAGCTAGCTCTCTTGGGTTTGGGCCAGGGTACCACAATGCATCAGGGCATGCTGCATGCACAGCAAGGTGGTACCACATGGTGGTTGTGCGTTGCCATCTACTACTAGCAGTACGTTTAGATTAGTACGGCAACTAATTTGGCGCCGTTAACAGCTGGTGACATACGCTGTACTAATCGAGGTCTTAATAGTGAGCGTTTCGGGGATCGGAGGCAGGTGGTCGACGAACCACTCACTTTCACGTCACGTGCTTGACAAGTTGGGCCTCTGATCCTGAGTCCTGACTGTCTTTGTGGGCGGTCGGCATCGGCATATGGATGGGGACCGGATCCATTTCCTCACGGTGATGAAGCGGAAAGCGGCGTCGTTTTTGGCCTTAATTACCGAGTGCTGATACTCGGGCCACGTCAACGGCTACTTGTTAGGCGCCAATACGTGCGACGGCACGTCTCGGTAATCATGGCATTAAGGCAAATTAACACGCATGCATCGCTGGACAGTCTGAGCGCCTGGCCGCCTGGGTGATCTGACCGAGAGTGCCTGGAAATGAGAGCAAAACGCCGTCAGGCGCAGGTGCTTTTGGGCATTTGGGGGAACGCACGTCGACTCAGATCCTCCTTTGCTTTGGGCAGTGGCTCTGGGACTGGAGTTGTAGCTGAAGCCGCCAACAACTTTTCAGACGACTGGACTCACGACCAGGTTGGAGGTCTGGACAACCGCGACACCTGGCCTTGTTTAGGGGGTGTTTAGTTATCCCAAACTCCTGAATTTGACACTATGCAAAAAGAAGATTCTTTGTTACATCAAACTTGTAGTACATGCATGGAGTACTAAATATTGACGAAATCAAAAACTAATTGCACAGTTTGATTGTACTTTGCGAGACGAACGTTTTGAGCCTAATTAGTCAATGTTTGGACAATTATTACCAAATACAAACGAAACGCTACAATGCGCAACAGTAAATTCGGCGTCGCCGAATCGGGCGAACTAAACATGGCCTTAGTTCTCCAAAAGCGCACTGTGCAAAAAGAAGATTCCCCGTCACATCAAGCTTGCGGTACATGCATGGAGTACTAAATGTAAATGAAATCAAAAACTAATTGCACAGTTTGATTTAACTTTGCGAGACGAATCTTTTGAGCCTAATTAGTCAATGTTTAGACAATAATTCACAAATACAAACGAAATACTACAGTGAAGAATTGTGCACTATGCAAAATTTACAGGTGCAAACTTTACCGAACTAAACGCGCCCCTGCTGGCAGGCCGCTGGGCGTACATTCTCCTCGAAAGCGAGAACACTCGCACTCCTCTCTTCTCGCGCAGTGCACAAACGGAAACGGGGCACCGGGCATCACACCAAAGCCACCCACCCACCCGGCAGCCGGCACCCCTGCCGCCCGCGACCGGCCCGTTGGCGTTGGCCCCCGCCCCGGGGAACGCCACGAATTCTTCACCTCGAGCCGAGGCCGGGGACTAGCTATTACTACTCCGTATCAAAGAAGACAAGCTTGTCGTGATTAATTTCCGCCGAGATGGCTGTCAGCTGCAAGCTTGTTGCACAACCGCAACCAGGTTTACCGAACAATCCCAAGAACCACCCAGTTGATCAAGGAAGCTGACGATGGCGACGATGACGGACCAAGGCACATCCAACTGAAGAAGCTGGCTCCAGTGCTGTGGGGATGTGTTCGGTGTCTTGTTGTCTTTCTGTTAGTTCGTCTGGTCTTGCTAGCTACGGAGTAGTCAGTTCGGTTCCTGTCAACTGTAAGGTGCTAGCTTAAACTCGCTCTGGCACGTTTCTGACCTTTTTCTGTTGCTTCTCTGAAACTCTCTAAACGCTGTATTTCCGTTCCTATGGTAATGGAAACGGGGATACCCTCGCTTCAATCAAAAAAAAAAAAAGCGAGGCCGGGGAGGGCTGCCCCGCCACGGTTGCCCCGGACGGGCGCGCGCTAAATCATCGGTCTATCTTTCAAAAATACAAAAAAAAAAAGCAAAACCATCGGTCTGGACGCAGACGACATCGCACTGTAAACCACGTGGCAATCCGTCGCCCGCGCGACCCACACACCACACCACACCGCCCCGCAACGCCCTCCCCCCCCCCCCCCCCCCCCCCCCCCGGCTTTAGCGGCCGCCAGCGGAGTCAGCCAGCCACCTGATCAAATCCACTCGACTCGCTGCCGTTTCCTTCCCTCCCTTTCCACTGGTTGAACGGACGAAATCTCCTCCCCTTGCTCCCGTCTCCTCCGCGAAGATAGCGAGCAGGGAGGCAGGGCGCGAGGAGGGTCGCGGCCCGCGCGGTTATATCTACCACCGCACACGCGTCCGCCCGCCGTTCCCCTCAGCTCGGGCGCGGCTTCCCTCTCCCCCCGCCCTGCCTCCCGCCCCATTTCCATTTCCCACGGCCATGGCCTCTTCGGTGGCCGCCATGCCCCACGAGTCCTCCTCATGGAGGGACCCCTCCCGCCCCACCCCGTCCAGGGGCTTCTTCAACATCCTCGTCTCCTCCCCCGACGCCGCCGCCGCGGGCTCCGCATCCTCCTCCGCCAGCGAGCCCACGCCCAGGCGCCGCCGCCAAATCCTGGACCGCTGGGCGGCGGCCGCCGCCGCCGTCACGGCCAGCGCCGCGCCGGAGCCCGCCGACCAGCGCCGCCGCGCCAGGGACGCCGAGCTGTCCGAGCTCGCGTCCGCCACGCGCCCCGTCGCCGCGCGCGCCGCCGTCTTCCGGGAGCCGTCCCCGGCGCCCTCCGACGCCTCCTCCACGGCACCCTCCTTCGCCGCCGCTAGCGCGCCCTCCGAGCTCCCGCCCGCGGGGCCCCGGGCCTCGTCGCTCATCCAGCGCTGGCGCGAGATCGAGGCCGTCGGCCCCGCCACGCCGCGCCCCGGCACCGCCGCCGACCCGGCCTCCGCCTCCGACTCCGACACCGGCTCGCCGCGCGGCCGCGTCGGATGCATCGTCAAGAAGCTCAGCGGGGCGTCCTCGCTGCCCGAGGAGGAGCTCGACGACGTCGCCAAGTCCAAGCTCTCGCTCTCGCAGTCCGCGCCTCCGTCGCCCGCGCACATGCGCGACGCCTCCTCGCAGTACCCGTACCCGTCGGGCGCGATCAACTGCCCCCGCCCGTCGCACCTCGTCGTCCGGACGGTGCGCGGCCGCCGTGCCATGGAACAGCTCGTCGCCGCCATGGCGCACCACCGGAGGCGCGAGGTCGCCGCGCTCGCCGAGAGGCATACCGTGTCCCGCTTCGCGCACAAGGGCAGGATCCAGGTAACCTCCGCTTCTTGTCGCATTGTGCATTTCGATCAAATTACACATGTTAATCATCGTCTCATGTACTTGTTACATTTATTAATCATCATCACTGGGATATCGCTTGTTGGTTTCAGCCCGGGCTTATCAGCCAGCCAATAGTGTTTTTCTCTCACAACAAACTAGCATCAGCCGGGCTTATCAGCCCAGAAACCAACCAGCGAACAGACCGATTGTTCCCTTTCTCGATCCACAAATCCTTGTTTCAAGCGAGCCAAAATGGTGGGAGCTGTTCATTCTAACTCCCACACATGGCGTCGTATGAGAGTTTGGTGGATCGGTTTCTTCCCAACTGGCGTTGCTGATCAATGTCATGTGCGAAGTCCATTATCGTGCTTGCATTGTTTCGTCGGGTTCGTTGACAAGTCAGTATACAAAAACAAACCAAAATGAAATAAATTGAGGGCTATTTTTTTTTTACCGTAAATATTTATTTTTTTTGAAGAAAAAAATGCTCCTAGTCTTATTTGCTTATTTATTTGTCAGTTGGGACTCGTGCAATTATATAGAAAGTTCCACCAAAAGATCCTGAAATTGTTTGCAACTACATGGACGAACTTCACTTTCACACTTCACAGATCTGTTAGGTTGTCATTTTTGGACCAGAAGAAAAAAGGGAGTCAATTAAGAAGATGCAAACTTGACATAGTATTTTGCAAAAACACGTATGAAATGGAAGTGTGCATCTAAGACAGCAGTGATGGGTCAGTTTACAGGTTGTTACTCTGCATATCTAGTGGGTGAGATGTCTGGGGCGAATAACATCTCTCGTTTGTCTGGCTCTTCCGTTTCGTACACAAACTGACATGTTATGGAGATGTGGGTGCTGCACGGTTGTGGTCAAGAGGCCACATGACTTGACAGGTTCATTGCTGGTATATCATCTCATGTACCTGAGGCAAATAAATAGGAGTAATGTCTTGGTGGTTTGTTAAGGACAAGTACCATGCAAATTTCAACAACCGTTAATGCCATTGTCTTTTAGGTTTGGTTTAGTTGTTACCGTACCTTCAGTCACTTGGAAACCCTTTGGTTATTCTTTACTCCAACTCTTGCCAATAGTGATGTGCATGGTACTGGCACCTAGGAAAGCTGACCTGCTGTAAAAACACAGCACACGTTGGCTTGTCTGCAGTAATATGGTGTGTTGCGGAAGTATTGCCCGTTTTAGAAGCAGCCCTTGTTTGTGGAGAGTATTGTGCAAGTATTTTGATTGGTTGAGATCCAATTGCATATGCTGGGCACAAACAAACATAACAAAAACTAAGTTATTTCTGTGTCATTATTCTTTTCTCATGGACAAAAGTATTCTTTCCTTTTCCTCAAAAGAATATTCTTTCCCTAAGGCAAAGATTGGTTAAATCATAGTGCACTACCAATGCTGTCGTCTTCTGATGGAGTAATTGTATAAATCTCCTCTCCTCGTAGAGCATTGGAATTTTTTTCTTTTATGGGAGATACTGCACTTCCATTTTACCAGGCTGTGTAGTATTCAACTGTAGCTGATCCCAAGGTGCTCTTTCACATCTTTACAGTCCATGCTTCGTCTGAGAT